TGTGTGTGTGTGTGTGTGTGTGTGTGTGTGTGTGTGCTGCTGAACGAGACAGTGAGTTGGGATGCTTTAGGAAGGGGGAGGGGCGCATCGCACCGCACGCAGAGGGGAGAAGGAGAGAAATTCTCTGGTCAAAGCTTCTAAAAGTCTCTAAAAACACTGAGAAAAGTCACCAGATTTGCCGCTAGTCTCTTCTTTGGGGAAAAAAAGAGGCGCTAGACGGGTCTAAAAAGTCGCTAAGTTAGAAACACTGCTCCTCTCGGCTCACTCCCAAGTCACGTGACCAGTCAAACTGCATCCTGTGCGATTAGAAAATCTTGTTTTAACATWTCRCGAGATTMTCGCAAATGCGATTAATTGTTCAGAACCTAGTTTTTATTAAGATGAAGAAATCCACAACCTGATCATAAAAAATAAAAAATAAACAGTTTGCTCCTTCTGGGTAGGGTTGGGCAATATTGGCAAAAAAATTAATCACGATTAATTGTGGTATTTAGCCGATAACGATTAATTTGACTATTAATCCCCCGGAGTCCCTGGACACCCTTATATCCTGGTCACATGACCAATTTATAGGGAGAAAATTGGCTCGTCAAAATCTGTTCCAAATTGTGTCAAAATTACAGACTTCAGKCTATACATCAAACTTTAAATTGTGTTGATAGATAAATAAATTACACAACTTTTTTAAATGTTGGTCTTTTTTGAATCAGAGAGGAACACCAAGCGGTTAGTCTGCCAGGTGGCATTAATYGTATTAATCGTCAAGTGCCAAAAATTAATCGATTAATGTTTTTCTGACGATTWATTGCACACGATACGATTATGCCCAACCCTACTTCTGGGTGATAAAATGTAATAAATCCAACATATCAATGAGAACAGACGACTAAGGTTGATTCACACCTGATAGTCTGGTAGACTTGATTCGATTGGGGACCAAAATTGCACGATTTGTTTACATTTTCAGTTGGTGCTGTTCGCATTCACACTGAACTAAAACCTGTGAACAACCTGTCCCCGCCCTCGCCTGTGGTGGCGCTGCACCAAGACCTACTGAAGGAATCGAAACGAAAACCTCAGAAGAAGACACTGAGYGCAACTTCCTTCTTCACAAAAAGTAAACAAACATGAAGTAACGTCAGATTTTAGTGGTTGCAGGTTTTATTTTTTTGTTTTTGGCAAATGTGCCAAACAAATGGTCTTCAACAATGAGCTCAGCGGGAGATGAGGCCAAACTGTGGAGAATATTGTTTTWCACACGAGGCGGCTGACACAGCTCCAGGTGACGCAGGGCTCACCGACAAGGAGCGCATCCAACTTCACAGCAGTGATGTTCACCTTACAGACGTCGAGCGAGTTCGATTACGCCTTCACAYGAACGAACTGGACTTTCCAGGCAAACGAACTAGAGTTTGATTAATGGGCTGTAATGAATGGTTCACATGTCAAGATAATAAGCTGATTTTTCCCCTCTGACAATCTTAAGGATGCTTCGATTACCGTGATGGCTCTAAAGATAATCTTATGAGATATTCTTGCYGTCTTATCTGTTAAAAATAGCCCACAAACTTTTCCCATTGCTTCTTCCTCGTCGGCCATGTTTATTTACTCTAAACTCATAGTTGATCTCAAGAGKTCTCACGAGATTTCCCGTCTGACTTCTGAATGTTTGTGAGTGAAATCTGTTAGATGTATGTTTTTTAATCTTCACGTCGGGTCTCAGTCTATGAAAATCAGCCGACAATTTTCAAATCTTGTTGCGTGAACCAGGCATAAATCACCAAATGTTACAGATAGTGTCGTAATGTGTTGGTACCTCAGCAGCACCGGCTACGTTCAGCTGCAGCATGCCTTTCCTGTCTTTCTCCTCCATAGCTGAGTACTGGATGGACTGCACTTGGTTAAAATTGGCTAGATGTGTGGGCTGGAGACACACAAGAACACATTGACAGCTTTTGAATAAAAACACGCTTCATATCTTATATAAACATGATTTTTTTTCACAAACAACTTGGCTTCTTTATGCCAAGTTTATTGCAAAAACTCACTGTTGACCCTTTATCAGTGAGGTAACTGATCCCTTCTTCTGGCCCGATGGCCAACTCTACCTGGATCACCCAGCTGGACTGTTGAAGGAAAACAGGATTCCAGTTAAAAGCGAAAAACCGTTGGGAGAAAACAGAACATATCTGTGCAGGACCTGAWGCCACCAAAAGGGGTCAACCTCGCACAGTCTAACGAACGGAAAGGAAAGAACGGGAAAACCCCTACCCCGAGGGCACATTTAAAGAACTCCTTGTCGTAGCGGTAGATCGGCGCGAGTGTCTCTAAGAACTTCAGGATGCACTGCTCGTCGTTGAGATTGGCGACCTGTTTGAAGGTTTGCTGAATCAGCTTGCGGAGAGTTTTAGCCTGGAGGTGAAAGAAAATAAAGAGAGAGGGGAAAAGTGAGAAGCATTTTGAAATAAYGTTTGTCTAGCAGCAAAGAAAACAAAAGGAGGGAGTAGAGACGGCAGGTGGGGTTAACGCTGTGGGCTTGCAATGACAAATATTGATTAACTATCAGCCCACTCTGTTTCCAATTAAACCRACCGCAGTGGTTCATTCTCAGCTCAGATCAATAGCTAAACAAAAACCCATTGACATTTTTAGTTACTCAACCAGTTCGTTAGCATCAATTTTAACTGATCTTGGTGTTATTCTTATCTTTTAAATCTAAGGCTTTCTTTAAAGAGGTATTTTGAACAAAAATATATTTTTAAGGTTTTTTATGTCACAGAAAAGCAGACAGATGGGAGGGGGACATAATCTATTCCCATCGCTGTTTTGTGTTATTTATTTGGAAACGCTGTATTGCCTGAGCCCCGCTGCCAGCTGTGCAGTCACTAAGCCTGAGGGAATCACTTCACCAATATCCCCATGTGCACGCAACAACAAATGMGAAAACATACATAATCAGAGATAAAGAAAAAAGGTGATGAGRTCCGTGTGATCTTCAGACTCCAGATAAGTTGATTGTTGAAATTCCTAGAATCCCACCAGTAAATATAAACACACAAACAAATGTGTCCACCCTTCCTGAGAGGAAATACTGCACGGACCATCAACCTCTCCATCATCATAGCAACAAGCTGACCAGCTGAGACACACTTTACTTTGAATTTTTATTCATAAATTCACAAATCAGCCTGCCTTAAAGGGATATGTATTCATGGTTTGAAGTTATGTTTTTAGTTTAGGTTCATTAACAGTTTTTTTTTTAACTCTATCACTTTTGAAGATCATCTTGAATATGAATTCCTTTAAAAATATTTTAAGGATGAGGTCTCTGTAAGTAAACTTTACAAGCAGAAATGCACTCTTTTTCTCCTCCATATTCCCATGAGGCTCTTATCCTGTCTACTTTGGGTGATGTGATAGAAGAATTGTTTGTTATCAACTTTAAAGTGCCCGTGACATCAATGTTTGTAATAAATAACACATTTTTGGAAAAATAACATTGATAAAATATTGCAAAAAAATAATAATAAATTTCACTCTGTTGAGAGGAGCAATTGTTGAGATGTTCGCATGTAAGTGACAGGAAGTGATGTCAAAGGGGAATATCTGAATGTAAACCGAGCTTGCTACATTAACTAACACAGTAGAGAAGAATAGGGTGTTTCTTAAGATAAGTTTGAGTCGCTGTAAGAAAGACGAAGAGTCAGAGTTCAAATAATAATGTTTCAATAAAACAAGACCAGTTTCCTTTCTTAAACAGTTCCCCTTTTATGTCACTTCCTGTTTCATATTGGCTAAGCCAAGMTCAAAAGAAAATATACCAATTATTTGACAAAATGGATAAAATCATATTATGCCAAGTTTCTTAAATATAAAATATGTTTTCTGTAACTTTTTGTATTTGAAGGATATGAATTTCAAAGGCACTTTAACGTGTTTATGTTTCGAGCTTAAAAGAAATCTTCCTTTACACTTATTTGAACAAAATGACACAATAAGTACTTTTGAATTACACTGTTAAAAAAGATTACAAGGGAAGTTTAGAAAAGTTATTATTCTTGTCAGCTTTTTGACAACCAGATATCACCCCTTTAAAACATCATCCTCCTCCAGTAGGACACTAAGAGCCCATTATGGTGACATTAATACTCCCAAGATGCCAGTTTCACTAAGCCTGCAATGGCCTGAGCTGAGGCAAACCATTTACTCCAACATATAGCACAAAACCCCAAACCTCAAAGCTCCTCCAGAAGCGTTTGTGTTCATGTCCTGACATTGCTGAGTTCTGGCAACGCAAAGAAGGCAGGTGGTTTAAATGTTGTGGCTGGTGAGTGCAAACAACAATAATAAAAACAGCACAACGGACTCCTTTTGAACAATGCAACACTATTTCAATATGCTATTCATCCGACAAGCGAGACGAGCTTGTCAGAACAAGCTGGAGCCGGTTCAAACTTTGATCTCCAAAGGTCAACTTCCCTGAACCTGCTGCCCAGCCTGTCAGTAAGAATGAACCCACTCTGCTCTTTAAAACAGCTAACATAAGTCACTATTTACTACCACCGCCATCTGCTCTGGGCTTACTGTGTGTGTACGTGTGTCTAAGTGGAGTCCATTGAGGGGGAATAATCTCATTAAATGACGACAATTCCCCTTCAGCAGAGTGAACGGCACAAATGACAGCTGCGCTCTCTTTCTCTGACCTGCACACGCATGAACACATGTGGACGTGTGTGTCATAGATAAGCAGCAGAAATGTTTGGTTTATTTCAGCAGACCTCAAACTTATWATTTAAACATAAATTGTTGATCTTATTGCTCTATTCTGCTTTTGAATTATCCTTCTTTATGTATATTATATTACATATAAACAAGTTATTGCTTACAAATAGATTTGATTAAATCAATCTGAATTTTAAGATGATGTCAGCTGATGAGAGGGGAGTCGGATGAACTTAACTGACAGGGGGGGTAGAAGGAGAAGCCCACCGACACCTCCGCCTCCCTTCTCATTGTTGGGGGGAAAAAGAAGGGGGTTTAACCGTGACCTAAGGGTCACACCCACATAATATACATTTACAAATTGTGCACAATCACAGTCTCTCACCCTCTGCTGAGCATCTGTCTCCCCGCCTGCTGACATCAAGACCTTTTCGGGTTACAGAGGCTTTTAATTCTCCAAAAACGCACACCCAGGTCCCCCTCATAAACGCGTGCCATAAATTTATCACTGACGCTGCTCATTACACAAACACACACAGAACCAAAATTTGTACAAATGGAGGTTTTCTACTGCAGAGATGTCAACRTTTTTTATCATGAGATCAGTCACTAAACAGAATGAATATTTTGATTGATTTTTCAGGATAATTCTTGAGTTAACCGACTAGTAGAAAATCCAGTAATTAAAACTCGTAAATTAAAGACAGTATGTCAACACAACATTTTATTGTCTTTGTAATAAGTTTCCATGCATCTAACTGTCGGTCTACAGTAGTTTCACTTGGATCTTTRTGGGTTTTGCACAGTTTCTTTTTTATGTTAAGCAATTTAAGGTCCAACAGAGCTTAAGGTAACATGTGTTAAATCTGTCTTTAAGAAATCTTCCTTTATAGTAGAAGGCTGCCCATCACTGGTAACTGAGTCGCTCCGATGGAACAGATGGAGCGCTGCGACACCAGCTGCTGTGTCAAGAGTGCACTATTCAGTCGGAACATAAGAAATCAAGCTGTTCACCGTGAACCTCTGGGCTATTTCTTTTATAAGTAGTTGAARAATAAAAGAACAAGGTGTTTGATTCAGCCAGTTTAGGGAACAACACCCTGACTTCTGCCTCTCMTCATCATCTTACCTTGACAGAGTCCAACAGATCTTTTGGAAAAAAACGCCTCAAACCAACATCCTTTCTGAAAAGACAAATTGAGAGATAGAGATCAGAATGTCTGTCATGCTGTTATTAAACTGAGGAATGTTAATCGGCAAGTATTTCTATGTTTATCTGATCTCAGCAGCCTGTTTCGCTCTACTAAGATTTGACAAGCGACACTTTTCAGACGAGGAACTGAACAGAAACAAAACACCATGAGTTCGCTGACTGAAGGGCTTTGCTCATATTCTCCTAAGATGGGTTGAAATAAAAACAAAGAAAGCAGAGAGGCAGTGACAGAGGTGGGGGTTGGGTGGGCCACAGTGACATTAAGATGTGCAGYGCTATAACAGGAAGCAAACTAATGACTCATACTCCTCTGAGGAAAAGATGAGTAGAGGAGGAGGAAAGTCTGGGAGGTTACATCATCTTCTCTACCCCATGTTGCTCCAACAAAGGTCACATCTCAAATCAATATAATAGTATAAAATAGCTTAGTTAAAAACCAAGCTTGCTGATTGTCTTAATCAATCTACTATTAAAGAAATCAGAGCAGAAAAGTTGTAAGAGTGCAGTGAAAATGTAATAGCAAAGATTTGGCTTAAATACAAAAACAAAACTAATTTCAGTTAGCAGAGCTCAGATGATAAACAAGGCAAAATCAAACTTGAATTACATAGAACCTTGTTGATGTACACAACACTTAAAATTGCTTTTCGTATTCATCCATTTACACAAACACACCCTCTGCAGTTTTTTAACCACACATGCAGCAGAATTTTCTCTTTTCTACACGTACTTGTATTCCACTGAATGCATGCAGGACAATGTGGCTTTCAGGGTCCCAGCCGTTCTTTCACTGGTCGTTCCCCCACTGAGAGTCTAAAGCTTGTTACTTAAGTGTCTGAGATCTTGATGGTAAAGAGCACTTTAGAGACGGATTTGTGTTTTGTGTGTAGAAACGGAGGTCTCCTTCAGCCTCCAGAAGCTGCTGATTCTCACTCATCATCAGCTATGACTTGCTCACTAATTTTGAGAAGAACCAATACCAAACTATATTTGTGAGTTAAAAGTCAATTTCATTGGTACTGTGGGTCAACTAAAGCCAACAGTGCCAAACAACACCATCATGTGATGGGATTTTCTGGCTATGACTCTTCAGCAGCAACTCATGGCCAAATATCAGCTTGCAGCATCAGATCTGAGCAGCACTTTCCCTCAACTCTTCTGGTTTAAAATATGCATGACACAACATCTTTTCCTAATCAGCACAAAGCGAAAGAAAATGAGCAAGAGTTAGAGGGAAAAAAAACATGGCAGTAACACAAGAAGAAAACCAGACAGAGATCCAGGATGTGAGGGAAGAACTGAGGGAATAAAAGAGATAAAGAAATACCAGCAAAGAGACAGCAGCCACTCTTTTCAGTTAATTGGAAAGCTCGTTAGGCTGATGTTCAAATACACTTGAATACAAGAGGGCAGCTCGTTAGAAACAGAACATGTCAGAGCCAGGCCTGATTTAGACCTCAGTTTAATTCTTCACTGAGAGTCTTTGTTAAGAGTCCAAAGTGGGACAACAGGAGAACAATAGGATGAATGCAAAAGCAGGATGCTTAAAACTTCCTCTTTAACCCCAGTACTGAAGCAACGTTTCAAATCACAGGAGCAGAACTGTTTTCAAATCACAGGAGCAGAACTGTCCAGTACTGGTTGCTCATAAAGAAAACACTTACTCCAGTAGTTCATAGTTGGATTTCTTGTCCAGGGCGTTTCCTCTCATCTCTTTAAAAAACCTCCTGGAAACAATAATAATAAAAAAAAAAGAAAACAGTGAGAAATCAAGCTCAGAATGTAGCAGACATTATACTAGCTTTTTGTTTTCAGTAAAATATTTTAAACTGTGCTCAMAGAATCAAAAATAAAAGTCAAACTGGGAGTGAAACAGCTGCTGCACTGACTAATAAATAACACACACTGACTAAACAAAAAAACTTCAACAGTAAACAAATCAAACAAATTAAGTTTCCAGTTGGTGTTTTCAGTAATCACTGGGAGCATGAGTTACCTGATTTCTAGGCAACCCAACTTTAGAGCTACATCTTGTTCCACTTTATCCCCATATTGGGTCATGTAGTCATTCTTCACCTGGAAAAAACGTCACAAACAAAACTAAATCWAAATATTTATTTCTCTTATTTAAATAGGAATCTGCCACACACACAGTCCTACTGATTTAAATTGTGCAAACACACACACACAAAGTACGGTCATGTGCCTCAGAGCTGGAAGCTGCCTTAAAGTATGTTGAGTACCTGATGATAGAAGCAGTTAAGTGAAGGTTTGTCTTCTGTAAACTGCTGCACAAAGCCTTTTGGTAGATATCGAATCCTTAGCTCGTACCTACAGAACAAAAAAGAATGGACACAGTAGTTAAAAAAAACTTTTTTTTTTCCTAAATAGGAATAAAAAACACCTAAAACCAACATGTTTTTCCACTGCCTTTAAAATGTTTGGACATGCTGTTGGTTACAGTGAACTTGGTAGACAGCACGAGCTAACAGCTTTGCAGTAAATACTTAAACAAGTACCATGTGCCTCCTATTAATTTTGTAAAACAATGATGGTCCAAACTCATGCATAATGAGAAATCCTATTTGTTCATGAGGAAGAYGGGGAAAAAGTAGACCAAAAGATAAGAAAAAGAACAAGAAAGTAAGATTTGAGAAGTGTTAAAAATGCTAATGAGAGGAGTGATTGTAAAACCAGTATATTAGAGACACAGAGAGAGTTGTTGATCGGGTCAGATAAAACAGACATCTGGTTCTCTTGCTCTCTTTATGTCCACAGTGAAAGAAGTCTCCTCCCCATAATAGCATTAGCACCCAGACTGCCACAATAAAAGGTAATATATTTACTACACCCTTAACATTCAAACAACCCTTCCACAGAGCCACGCTGCACCACACACATGGCCACAAACAGACAGGTTGCACTATTTATCTTCATGCTGTCTGCAGTAAATCACAGCGACTTTGGAGTCGAAACGACAGACTGCTGAGTCCGTCTGTTTTCAGAGCCGGCGACTGGATTTGCAAAGTCATGAAAAGTCATCATGAATCACATCAGGAAACTGTTTTCAAATCACCATTTTTCCTATAAAAATAAAAAGTGTTTTTTAGAGACACCCTGACCTTTTCTATTCAAACGCTAAGGCAAAACAAAAAATATCCAGAATTTTGAGTTAAATTCACCAAGCCAAGTTATTGAATTTAGTTTAGATAGATAAATGTGTTGAAATGGAGGTGCAATGACCAACAGATAGCTCAAACTGATGATAACAGCAACTCAGAACATCTAAATGAGACGTCAGAAGAACTTCCAGTCAAGATGTCAGAGAAAGAGAGTAAGTTTAAATGTGTTTCTTTTTGCTATTGTCTTGCAATTTTTAAGTACAAACTTGTTTGTTTTGACTTTTAGAAGGATTTTTTTTTTTTAGCTGATTGATGAACGAGTCAAAAAAAAAATACAGGTAATAAAAACTGTAGATAAATAATTTTGTTTTCTAATTACTGTTTACATTTAATTAAGAAGTTATTTGTTTTAAACAGGGTTCCCACATCTTGGTCAACCTCAAATTCAAGGACCTTCCGAGGACTTTCCAGTACCAATTTCCTCAAATTAAAGAACCACRCGCAACAGCAGTTACCTACTGTTACCACAGAATGTTACCAATAAACAGGTTTAATATCATGTAAATTCAATGAAAAACTGAACAACATACTGTAGAAGTTGTTGAGTCAGAAACAATGACGTCAGTTTACTGTAACCCTGAGTTATCCACCGCAACAAAGGTTAGTATTTTTTAAATTTAATTTTATAAGTTATTTTTTTAAAAGATGATGAAAATCAGTCGTGTGAATAGAGAATTTCAATCTCCCCCCAAAAAAAAAACATTCAAGGACTTTCTAGGACAAGTGTAATTTTCGGCTGATTTCACAAACTTTCCAGGGCCTTGAAATAGTTTTTTCAAATTTACAAACTTTCAAGGATTTCAAGGACCTGTGGGAACCCTGTTTAAATCTTATAAATTAARTCTTGGCCTGTGTTGTCTAACCTCCATTCCTCGTTGGGACGAGCTTGTTCGTATTTCTCTCTGATGTGAGACACGCCCATATCTGGGTGGAGCCAGTGCACCTGGTCTTTGGATTGGCTGCTGCTGAGGCGAAGGCCGAAACAGGAAGTCCAGCGCACTTTGTGGATGTCCAGGATCTTCTGGATGATCCCCTGTATTAAAAAGAAAATTGAAATAAAAGTGAGATTTTAATGGAGTGTGTCCACCTCAATCTAATACATTTAAAGATATGTTTTTTTAAAACAATTATATTTAGCTCAGAGTATTTGTTTACACAACTTAAAGTCAAGAAGTGTGTATCTGAGTGTGTCTAGGTGACTCCAACGATACAAAATTATGTTCCCACCCATACAATTTGGCAGACATCAGATGACCACAATAATGCTTAAAGAACCATGTGTGTTGACATGTAAACGGCCAGKGGGTTCTGACCTACATTCTGAAGAAGAGAGGGATAAAAAGGAGAAGAGAGGAGAGGATAGTTGCTGTGACAAACCGCTAACAATTTAAGCTGTGCTCGGAAGTTTCTGCGTCATGGTTGAAGTTAAAAACGCACCACAGCACTGGTAGATACAAACATTAAAAACGGCCCCCCTCAGGTTACTCTCGTTGTGCGGTTTCTTTTTATCAGAGCTGACAGCTAAGACCTTGAGCTGAGGAAAAGTAGCTAAAGAAATATCAACTTTTATACACTGCTGAGTGTGAACTGTAACTAAGTAGGCCTGGGGACAACTACAAACACTACATATCACTGTAGAGGTTTAGTTTCTGTCTAAGGTTATTAATACGGAGTACTAAATCTAAGAATCTAAGAAGCTACTTAATGGAAAAATCTTTCAACCYAAAGTGAGGAGTGCATCTTCGTACCCTGACATCAGTTGCATCTCCATATCTGACATTGGTAGACCAGAAGCTTTGTTCAGTGTTGATCTCAAAGTGATGGAAGACTTTCAGAACCCTGTCCACGGGGCCAGCCATGGTTCGGTCCGATACCCCAGCATTCAGCTGCGACTTGGCGCCGCCTAGGAGGGTGTTGTTCAGGTGGGGCTCCAGGTAGGCTGTTGCCATGGTTTTCCCTGCCGACACTGCCGCTGCTAGGTGTCTGTCATATTCTGCAGAGGAAAGAAGAGACAGTCTGAGGTCATTAAACAAGTAAAATAAAACAGTGAAACACAGACGGCAATGAAGAAAAACAATATTGTGGTAGTTCTACAGGGGGTTTCTTCCAGCTGGAGTCTACAATGCGGTAAGTAAAAAAAAATCGGAGACCCGTCACCTGATGTTATTTATGCACAAATCTGTTGCAGTTAAACCCTAAGTCTGGCTATTCAACTGGCTGCATGCAGGCCACATCCAGCTAAAGTTCGGCCCGCCACTTGGTTCAATCAYCTCTTAAGCTCAAACCCCCGGTTTTCTACTTTAATTACTAAGTTGTTTTAGTTCAACATAGACATGTTTGGTATCAACAGAAACATCAGGATCTTAACTAGAAGCTGGTAAAACCATTTCTATAAACACTCAAGACAGTTAAAATTACAAGCAGTTGAAGATAAAACTATGAAAGTGAAAAAAATGTTTTAACAATTTGGCACATCAGAGATGTCAAAAACAATATTCGTGTCCAATAGGAGGCATATTGTGTTCTTTTTGTTTTTGATATTGTTTAATTATCACTACTTTTATAGGGTTCTGTATGTTATATTCATGATTAAATGCAGCAAAATAAACTATTTCAAAAGGTAAAAAATCTTTGTAATACTTTGTTTTTTTTACATAATGACTTTAATTGCTGGATGTTTGGCCCCTGAGCTGTTGGCCTGCAGTAACTGTGGCCCCTGAAGCAATTTCTTTGAATAGCCCTGCCCTAAGTTATTAGATTGAAATACAATATAATATGAAAGGATAAACACAAAAAGCACATTCATGTAAATTCAGTGTTCTTTGTGGTAGTTTCATGTGAATTGAAGACAAAGTTTTTTGTGCTAAACAAGCTTATTCCAACGGTTTAAGTTTAAAATTAAATGTTGCAAAAAGGTAGCTCTTAAGGAAAAACCTGTTGGAGAACCCTGCACTAATCAGTCATTGTTTGTACCTTGGTGTGGGTCCTCCCTTTTCGCTCTACTGTCAGACACAAATTGTTACACCTCTAACGTCGCACAATCAAATGCTCCACAGTCTAACTTTCCACTAAGCCCTTCCTGTCCCGTTTGACGCAAACGCCGTACAGCAAGTATCCATGCACCGTGTGTTGTTCTTTGGAAAGATAAAAGACAATGAACAATAAGATACCAGAGAGAGAAATAAAGCAAGAGTGGCACAGTCAGGGTCAAGTCTCATTATGTAAGCATCTGTGTGTGTAAAGGAGCAAAGACAATGCTCCGCAGGCTGCCATTTTGTCCCGAATAAGAAGCTCCGACACTGACACACTTCCTGTAATTTTATGGCAACTTCAGTTGGAAATGAATAAAAGAATGATCTTGTGACTGTGTGTGTATGCAAGTGCAAGTGTGCGTGCTGTTGTAAAAAAAAAAACCATTAAGAGTCAAACTTCTTTTTCTTCTTTTTGTCCTTCCTGTAGTTCTACTCCATTAAAAGAAACGCAGGTGTAGACATAACCATTGTTTAGGTTGTCCAAGACAACCGATTTTCATTTCGGACAACCAGATCCTGAAAAGACCTTTATTAAAGTTCTCTGCCATGGGTGTCCGACATTTATAAAAATGAAAGGGAGCAAAAAACTTGGTAAAGCCGAACAGAACACTAAACTGTAACTTTTAATAAGTGTACAAAGTATACTCCTATTTAAGTGAAAATGTTTGACCTATGATCAGAAAGAAGTTTATGAATGTTGGGTAACCTCTAGATTGTATTAGCAACATTTTTGCTGCTTTTCTCCCTGAGCCTTAAATACTCTATTTCAAAGAAGAGAATGAGGAAGTTTTATTCATGCAGATCCTGTCAACCTGGCTGACTGAGAACAATTATATATAATAAACTTTGTCTACAGAACAATATACTTGTTAAATTACATTTTTCTTGAGATTCTTTTGGACAACCAAAATGTTTTGCGGACAATCTGAAAAGTATCCTTATGTCTACCCTAACGGATTTGGTTTACAAGGTAATTACACCTGATAGGGGTGGAGAGTGTGCACACACCCACACACCCCCAGTACATAAGCACAGAGTCTGCAAATCCACGGTAGCTTTGGCTGTATACCAAGTCTGTTCCCATGGAGTCAGGTGTCACAGGCTGAGAAGTGTGTTTTGTGCTCCTGTGTGTTTCTGTGTGTGCGCTTTAAGGAGATTTCGTTCATACCTCTGACCCAGCACACGGGGAAAGGGCTACAGCCACCCATCGCCATGGAAAGGCATGTCTGCCCCTTCCTGTGCCTGTCTGCACCGAGGACAGAAAGGCAACTCGCTGCGTCGGAGCCTCGCATCGCACAAGCTGAACTTTAAAAAACACTTACATAATCCAAACTCCGACTCGCACACAGTCTTGAAAGAAAAATATACCTCTCAGGTTTCGGTACTATGGTTTCCAAAAAGATCAAATTCACAAAACGACCAGTTTTTGTATCGCCACTGAAGAGTGAAAATCCTCCAAAACGAGACAGACTAAATAAATATAGTCTGTGAGTCGTTTCAGTTTGTCCTCTCKATCTTTTCCTTGCATCCGAAGTTGTACAAAACAAATCTCAAAGTTTTATCCTCAAATTTCTGTCCACTTCTGAGGTCGTCTGTCAGCAATCCTTCTCTGATGAAAACACATCGTTTGTTTCTCGACTCAGATCTGGTTGGTGCCCGCACGCCATACTTTCAGAGGTGCCCTGGAAGTGTCGGGCAACTGTTGCTCAGGAGAGACTGGGTTATTTCAATCTGAAGTCCCTGAGTTTGTGAGAGAAGCTCTCCTTCAGCAAAAAAAAAAAAAAAAAAAAAAAAAACAACCTCAAAGACAAATCCGACTTGTACAGTGCTGATCCAGAGGACTTTCTGTTCGCCAGTAGTCAAAGAGAAGGAGACAATTACTGCTCTCAGTTAGAGAAAAACACAAAGTTATCGTCTTCTGCTGGAAACAGAAAGTGAGAGGACAGAGTTTGCCAGGTAAACAAAGGAAGCAGAGACAGAGACGAGGAGAAACAGCGATTGTTTCAAAGTGAATGAGAGGAAAAACCAGGGCAGAGCAGCACAACTGAATGAAAGTTGAGTGAGAAACAGGAGAGCTTGAGAGGGGGGCTGTTAGAGGAGCAGGAGGAGCCAGAAACTATTAATATGTTAATCCTGTTCTCTTCATTCAATTAAAACCACTCCCACAGCTGATGACACTGATCTCAGAACAGCCCTCATCCTAAATTAATATCAGCAAAAGTCAGGTGATACAAACTATTGCACTGAGCACAAATGAAGTTGTTGMATTTAATCTAGATTAAAAGCAACACTACATGAAGGTGCAACRATTATCTTTACAATAATCAATTAATCCCATTGTATGCATCCACTCAGTCAATAAAAATCAGTCAAATCTTTTTTCAAACCCTTCAGGGTCTGATAATACAATTTACAAATCTACAACCACACCGTTASCTAATCCTTGTTCCAATGGACACTTGAGCCAAATGAGATTAACCAAACATGWACATTCCAAAATATTTCTAATGGATTTTCATGGAATTATCAAATAAATCAAGAGTTAAAAGAAACAAGACTCCTTGTCAAAACAATAGTAGCCTTGTTTTTTTTTTCTGCACGTAAACCAGAGTTCAAACCACGATTTATATAAATCTAATACATAATCAAGCAAACTTAACCAACTTGTTTTTTAGTCTCAAACATCAATGCAATATGCACTTGTTAAGTATTACTGCTGCAGGAGTCTCAGTAGCCATTTTAAACTATAATTAAACACAAACAATCGTCTGTGTAATGGAAAACAATATTCACTGACAAAGATGTAAACTCTTAAGGTTATTCGCGTTTCAGACGACCAACTTCAGCATTCATCCCAGTGTGTTTTTATGAGTGCGCACGTGTGGGTTTCCTATAATTTGTGCTCCGTCCCAGGCATTCCCCATTGTTATGAAAATCTGGTGGGAGCATGGGGGGGTGTTGTGGAGTGTGTGTTTGTGTATGTGTGTGTATGTATGTGTGTGTGTGTGTGTGTGTGTGTGTGTGTGTGTGTGTGNGTGTGTGTGTGTGTGTGTGTGTGTGTGTGTGTGTGTGTGTGTGTGGACCATTGAGAGTCTTTTGTCCGAGGGCCGGATGCTGTCATGAATGGGAAGAGCTTTTCTGGGTCCGAGCCAAAAGTCTCTTTCTTACTATTTTGCTCTGCTCTTCTGAAGATAATTACTTTAGCAGAAAATGTAATTGCAGTGGTTAAACCTCAGATCTGTTGTTTTGATGTCATTATTTCTGAATGAAAAATTGCTACATTTCAATGCCTTTAGGGTATACAAAAAAACCCAAGATAAACAAATCTTGATTACTCTTCAAAGACTCACATATTATTTTGTGCATGTAAGAAAAAATAAAAGCATAAAAATGAGAAAGATTTAGCTTTAATGCTCTCCTATTGATCTGCAATATAAGTCTAATATATGTTATAACAATGTGTCTCATTAAACAACCTAAATAAATAAAAGGAAAATAGCTTACATTTGAAAAACCAAACATAAAACATAAAAACAATGAGCATATCTAAACATCCTCTCAAAAAACACTTCCTTTGTTGTTTCCTTACGTCCTCACAGGTGGCATTCACTATTGTTAAGCTCCTAATTCAGAGGATTTTAAAAAAGTGTTTTGATGCACTGAGATGAGAAAACTAAATGTATCTTAGGTTTAAATCATTACAAAGAATGATAAATAAAAGAAAGAAATGGCTTCAGAAAATTAAACTTACAATGTATAACTGAGAAGACATTAATAATTTACAAGGCTGATAAATTTGAGCCAAATTGGAGATTATTTTGTGCACCAAAGCATGCTTTCAGGCAACAGTATATATTCATTTCTGAGGGGAAAAACACGTTACTTTCTTAGACTCACATCACAAATACAACAATTTTAAAATAAAAATAAAATTTATTAATTTTGGTCTGTGCTTGAGAGTACTGATTATTTATCTACTGAAAAACAATTGCTCAATTTTGTTTTGGCCTTCTACGTCTGAAAATTTCACATTAAAAGACGAGTTTGGGTTTGCAGAAAAAAAATGTCACCAGTAATAAGCAGCTATCTGTGGTGGGGTGTCGGCTAATAATTGTACCTAGAAATACATTATTCACAACAATTACTAAATAAAATTGTGTCTTTTAAAACAAATAGACAGACTTTTAGATGTTTACGGGTCAGTTACCGACCTGTGTAGTAGGCAATCCTGGAAATATCTGAAAAACAAACAAATAACAGTGAGTTATTTTTTTAAACTGCAAAGCTTCAAAACAAAGAAATACGGAAACAAAAAGGAAAGTAAATATTAAATTAAGTCCTACAGCAGGTGTCTCTAACTCTGTTACTGGATGTGAAATGCAAAAGAAACTGCATGGCGTGCTCCACAATTCATGTCAATTTCAAATAATTATAATTTGAATGATGCCATTTTTACAAGCTAACAGTTCACAGGGATATCGACGGATTTCTTTAAATTGATTTTGAATTGTTACTTGATTCACCCAACTCCTAATATGCTGAAGGATTCTTGTTTGAAAGGAGTGAAAGGTCAAAATCTTTTTGTTCAGTGTTGGGATTTAACAGCTGTGAGATCACAACATTAGACTTTTTTTTTCCCAACATTTACTTGTAGGTTAAAACCCAAAAGAAACAGAAATGGTTCACACACAAATTAAATTATTTACATTTTTACTCATTTGTGGTTAAGAATTTGCACAATTTTTAATCAATTTACCCCTCTGCTTTCAACAGAAAATGGATAAATTAATCCTATTTTTCTGCCATTAAACTCTGCACATGATGTTTCAGAGATGTTTCTATAAACTTCCCAAATTTGTAGTTTCAATCCATTTTTATTAAAACTTTTACTTGCAGCTTACCGTAATACTCGCAGTAAACAGACATTATCACTATTTTACTTTTTTCAGAGGTATATTAAAGCTCTGGCAGACAGAAATTAGTCTGGGGCTTCAGGCAAACCTGATTGAACTAATTAGGATAAACAATATTCTTCCTATAAASCACATTAACAATCCTTTCTTTAAAAAATTGGATATTTAAAACCTTTACAACTGCTTTAAATTCAAATTTTCTTTCTTGACTGACTGCTCTGATACACCACATTCCACCTACAAAACAGTTCCTGAAATCTGAACAGGAAGTTCAGGAGACACTGCATGGGAACATGACACCCACTTATGGCAGGGACGGGGCTGTGTGTGTGAGAGGAAGTAAAAAAGATAAGTGCCTAAGTGCTTCAGACACCCTGATGTACAGTCAAACACTGGGGATTCAAGTGCACACATGAAGACTGTCAACAGAAATGATGTAATGTTGAGAATAAAACCCACAGAGCAAAATAAAGTACCATAAACATGACTCACGATGGAAGTATTAGCCACAAATACTGTGTAATATGAAACCAATACGCTACACTTTCCATCAATGGTGGTGATGACATTGGAGATTAAGTGAAGGTATTGTTGAAATCAAATAACCTAAAACAAAACCTAACAAATTATTACTAACTGATGTGTTTTTTTTAATCATTTTTACTTAATGTTACTTTGCAGTAACATTAAAATACAAGAACATCTACCTGGTAATTATTTAATTATTAGAGCAAAAACTCTAAATTTTAACCAGTTTTCTCAATTCCCATTTATTATTCTTTTTAAATAACACATGAATAACCAACCAACACTGGATTAAATGGTTTCAGTTTAGTTACATGGGACTAAAATGGACCATTATAAACTCATTAGGTCTTTATAGAGTGCCTAATGATGTAAATAGAGTTGAAACCTTTGACGACATCCGTTTCTTTGGTTTAGGTTTTTATTCGTCCCTCTCTCTGTCTCCTTGTTAATAATGAGTCAAAGTGGTGTTTAGCCTGAGATAATGGCTTTACTGCAGTCTAGACTAAAAAGCAGTGGAGAGAGCTACTGTTTTATGATAACAGTTGAAGAAGTGTTATTAAAAATTAATCATTTTCAGAAGGTATTCAAAGTTATAATGCATTTTACAACCACGTCGCAGCCTCCGTGTTTTGTTTATGTATAACAGCTCCTTCAGGTCCACGCTGCACAATCAATTCAGTTAATAAGCAACTAAGTTCATTAGTAAATATATATTTATATTGCTAAAGGGGAGGAGTTTCAATGTGTTGAAGGTGGCACAAGGCTTTAACACATTTGTTGTGTGTCGCTATAAAGACAAACTACTAAGGTGCGCCTTTTCAGCTGAAAAATACCAAAAAAAATAAATGCATAAAATAATATGAAGAGTAAAAGAGGCAGCTGCTTTACACACATCAAGTTTACACAAACACGTCTCTTCAAGCTGTGCATAACTGCATGTTCGCCATAGGTTTTTCAGAAACTGCAATTATACAGAAAAACTACCAAAAACTTGGTGTCTAAACTCCTGATTTTATATTACGTCAGATCAAATTCAGTCTGGAGGAAATCAGACAGAAAGATGAAGATGAAGGGAGAACCTTTTTTTATACAAGTAATTAAACCATCCTAGGTTAAAGTAAAAAATGTTTTATAGGCTGCTAAAACTGGACAGTGGGCAGATGAGACTAAAGGAACAGGTGCAAATAATATATTTCCACAAAAAAATTTTATATTAAAAAATACTTTTTCTGCAAGGAGGAGTTAGTTTCGCCTTGCTACCCAGAGTTTAATGGTTAACCTTCACACTGAGCTGGCACACACACTTACATGAATGTGTGTCTGTCTGTGTGTGTGAGAGAGAGC